TAGCTGTAGCCCTAGAACAAAAGCCCTAGAAGAGTCAGAAAATAGGTGGTTTCTCACCTTGCACTCACAGCTAAAAGCTCTTTTGTGGTTTTTTCTCCCGTATAAGCTTTCATCATGTCTATACAATTTCTGCTGTCTTTCACAGAATTTCCTGGAACATCTGAACACTGCAGTCCAAGTCAAATGCTGCCAGAGTTGCCATCTTTGTTTGACACAAGCCACACTTTCAGAATGATGGCCATTATACATGAATGGGAGGGCATGTCTGCCAGTCACACAGACAACACTGGAAAGTATGTTTCACTTTTAATTTCCAAAGCAGGCCTGGAAACAGTGATCTTTTATTTATGGTGTCAAAAACGGTACACCATCTTTATGAGTGCGTGCAGCCTGTCCATCATACTGGCTGACTGGCTGATGACCATTTTAATGGCAGCTGTGTGGTTACTGGGTCCTGTCCACTCATTTACACCCTGCCTCATTTTGACTAATGCCTCAGCAACATATGCAGCATTACCACTGCCCATGATATGCCTGAGTTTAATGGACTACCTTTTAAGAGACAAAGCTCTTAGCAACGGCAGAGCCTTCTTAAAAACCCTCGGAAATATACTCCTGACACTTCTCGTGTGGCTGCTAGCTTTTATGTGCTCTTTTAGCCATGCTGATGCTAAACTGATGGATATGAGTTGCGGCAAAAGGTTGAAGAAAGCTCTGGTGTGTGAAGTGCAGGAGTCAAAACTGGTGATCAACTTCATTGCTGGGATTTTCACTGCAATCCTTTTAGCACTGCTACCATTTTGCTCACATATTCCCCAGTGGGTAAGAGATGCTGACAAGTTCTGTGAAGCAGTGGAAGAACAAGAGAAGGTGGGGAACAACTTGCTACTCACTTCAACCCTCTGCCCAGAGACAAAAGGTGATGAAAAGAGTTACCTGACACATACAATCCACCATCGACCGCCTCTCTGGATCAGTCTAATACTGGGCTTTGCCACATTCTGGATGCCTTTTCTTGCTGTGTCTCTGGCCTGTTTGGTTTTTGGCCTTGGAGTACCTGCATACATCTCTGTTAACCTGTTGTGGCTGGAATGCACCAACAGTTTACTGCTGGGTGTGCTATTCTGGGTAAAGAGCAAGACTCTAGGGCCACACACCAATTTACCAGAAAATCTGTGCTCATGGCACATTTACTGGCATATAAGCACAGAAATGCAACCCGAGCTGATGGTTCCTGAGCTCAACCCATCAAAAGAGAAGAGAAATACTTACAATGTGTAAGAAAAAACCTGAAAGTAACAGACATCATAAGCCTAGATGGAAAGTCAAACTCATTGTACAACGTGGGCCACATACAGCAGACTTTGATGCTAAGTGCATCGAATCCCTATGCATGGGACAAGTTTTTCTATATGATAAAGAAATATTGCTGTAGTAAATAAAAGAAATCTGTCAACACAGCTGGACTTAAAGTGTAAGAAATGTATAACATTACAGAAAGGTTTTGGCAGCTCATTGGTCAGACTGTCCTGTAATTATAAACAGAGTTTATGTTAATTCAAAGAAAATGTCATTTTTACCCCCGTCTAGGTTTTTGATAATGTTTGTATATGTAAGCATCATTCTGTCTTTAAACACACTGACTGAAAAAGCTTTGAATAGCAAACTTTGTAGGGGTCTAGAATGAGGTCCTATTAACAATCTATTCAAATCTGACTTATATCCACCAAGCTATTCAAGGTCAGCTTAATGTTTTATTGGTCAAAAATTGCCAAACAGACTTATAACTTAGAAACTATGACTGTTAAAGTTGTGATGTGTATTGCAAACATATACAAACAACAAAAAAGGTTAAAACTAACTCACATTTGACCTCTGACATCATCTTTAAGATAAATAGATTCATCTGAAGGTCAATGTGCTAAAGGCCGTTTTAAAATATCTTACAGCCACTGTTTGCACTGCCAGCATAAGCGATATAGGTTACCAGAAGTTTATATTATATTTACTATACTATGTTTTAAAGCAAGTACTTTAAGAATTAAAAAAGAAAAAGAAAAAAATAAATAATAATATATTACACAAAATACAATACTATTCTAATAAAAGTAAATACTGCTCAGAGTGTGAGCTGCCTTGGTGACGGTTTCCACGCTGAGTGCTTCTTGGTTTATTGGGGCTTTTTTTGGTTTTTGTATTTGTATTTTTTTGTTTCTTTTTTATTTTATGTAACCGTGGCCCCTTCGTAATAGTTGTTGTAATTGTAATTTTTTTTCTTCTTTATCTATTAGTAAATTGGTGTAGTATGAATGGCAATTCACCCCTGGTCTACACTACAAGAAACGTGATGTGATGAGCCACTAAGAAAGTTTCACCTGTGTCAATGCTGCAGGAAATGTCTACTCTAAGTTACACACCTGATGCCATGACTGAATGATTGATTCTAATTTATTCCTTCTTCTGTTAGAATCAGGTGACATCATAAAATTTTATTTTACAATACCTTCTTTTTCCTCTTACCACTCCTACTGCTTGACTGTTTTGTACAAATCAAAAAAGGTACAAAGTTTCTTCTGGATGTTCATGAAGATCATTAAATATGATCAGCAGCTACAATGGATGTAATCTTTTTTCTATCATATGTTATTTCCAAGTTGGAGAATAAACTTAAACTTGACTTAAAACTAAGCTTTTAATCCGACACTGACGCCATCTGCTGACGAAGCTGAGATAACACAACTGAACGCACTGCAACACCAACACTGACCTCACAGTGGCATTTTGTAATTGGCTGTAACTAAAATACATCTTTTCTTTACTTAACCATATCATAATAATAAGGCTGTTTATTATAAGTAAAGGGGTCTCATGAAGACTTTTTTCTTTTGTTGTAATTATTTTAGATGACAGATGTGTCCTGAAAACTACAATATGCTGGTACACGTAGTTCAAACTTCATACCACCACCATTCTATGTAAAAACAGTCGCTACTAGCACTACTGACATTCTCCTTTCTTAGGCTAACATATTTTTTTCTCAAAGTCTTAAGCAAACCTAAATATGGAACAATCTTCAACTAGAAAATTCAGGAAAATGAATTAAAAAAAAGAGGACTTAACTAACATGTTAACATAATATGGTACTTAAGAGTCTGTATATTATTTTAATGCTTTCAAAGGCAAGTTATGATAATAGCGGTTCATTTTTAATGTTAAAGGGAACTTCTGTCACTTTCATTTAAAAAAGAAAAAAAAAATATGACTAATCAATACGAGAGTCTGAGACAATGAACCATCATTAACCAAAATGAAAAATTAAAGATAAACATAGAAAATAATTCTTGGTCTCTCTGTTTTAAATAGCTTTTGTCTTTTTATCTTTTCTCTAATTTCTTTTTACATTGTTCCTGCTTCATTATGCAACTGGGGGCGGTGTCTTTAAAGGAGCTCATGGGATCAAATTTCCACCTATTAGTTATTAAGGGGCAGGCTCATAAAGCACCACAGAAAAAAGCTAAAAATAATATTGACTTTCAGGACTATTTACTTCTTTTTAAAACTCTAAAAATATATTAAATAAATCTGTCTAAAAATACATTAATACATAATGTAAGCTTGAATGGCAATGCCAATAACACTTGATGCAGAAAGAAGTAAAATACATATTAATTTATAAATACTTGTATTTCAATACACACACTCGCATACATATATAAACTTTGCACAAACAATATTTGTGATTGGTCAATTACTTCTTTGTTGTAATGATTTTTTTGGCACTAAATCTTAAACTGTCAGAAATCCTGTTTATTTGCCCTTAAATGGTGCCACATCTATAAGGAAAATGCTTTTGTGGGTTGAGCAGCAGGTAGAGTATGTCTTCTTTTTCAATGCCAAACAGCTTATTCTGCTATTGATTCTAGTTTTGATTCTCAGGTAAAGGAGGTCCTGGCACTCAGGTGCCATGGGCAAATGATTAGAAGCACCCATAAGCAAGAACAGTGATCAGATGTTGTCTTTTCCAAGCATGCTGTGCTTGACTGCTCTAGATATGGCAACTTCAAGATGGCGTTCTGCAAAACAAGCAATACTTAGTGTGAGCAATACCGAGTGAGCCCCAGCCCTCTACCATCTCCAAGTTGAAGGCCAAGATCCGTATAATGGGGGATGACAGAGACGGTGGCGAAGTGTGCATCTGAGGGCAACAAGACCACACGAAGACCGTTTCCTTACCTGTCACCATAACAGTATGTGACCACCATGAGGTGGAGGTGCCAGGTTGGTGTGGCTGTGTATGGGTCTTCCACATGCTACTGAGGCTGCTGTTTGTTCAATGAATAAATTGTTAAATTGCCAGGATGTATTGATTCTTCAGATTTTAATCATCCAATCTGATAAATGACACTAAATAAAAGTGAAACGCAAATAAGATATTTGGCATTGGAAAAGATTTTAATGGGCACAACCCACATACAAAATTCTCCTTCTCAAATCACAAATGTGGTACCATTTAAGTGAAAATAAATAGGCCAAGAAGCATTGTTACAGGATAATCCCCAAGTTTACATACACACCAAGTCTATACATGTGTGCGTGTGAGAGACATATCTAAAGTTTTCAAAAAGTCATTTTTCCAAATGCAGCTTTTTCCACGGTGTCAATAGATGAATAACAGTCACATAACAAATTTATCGTACCATACTGATATGCATTTAGTTGCGAGGGTTATTCTTTTGAACAACATCGGGATATCTTCGATTTGAAGTCAACGTGCTTTCTCTGTCCGCGTCAACATTAGTTCAACAAACTCACCCGTATATAATGAAAAGGATTATAAATGTTTTGCCTCCCTTATTGTATATAATGTACATCAGGTGTGTATGTTTTACAACAAGGTCGTTTAACAGGGTTTAACCAGACTATGAACTTTATTGTTGCCACTGATGTGACGCGGTAACGTTGCCCGGTTAGCTTCAAAGTGTCTTTATGATGCTACTCACCTGCCCTCCAATGGTAATGTCGAAGAACACAACCGGGTTGTTGGGGTTTGAGGCTTGAATCGACATTGTCGTGATTTACCCGCTTTCTGAGACAACAAAATGCAACGTTTGGCTATTTACACAGCAATCATTTGAACCACGATCTGCGCTGTCGGAACTACGGCGTCTCGCGAGAGACGTGCTACAGATCCCTTCTGCGGACAAAAGACTTACTTCACCAAAAGCGCGATTGTACGGAAATAAATGATAATGGCGACATGCCTACTGATAGCAGCGTAACAAATGAACAGTTTATTTTAAAAAAATAAATTAAAAAAAAAGGCTGAATTTGTCTTTACTTCTACCTAAAAAACTGTCAACGAAATTACTGCATTTAGTAGTCCTTTCCATATCAAATTCATTAAGTGAGTATCAACTGCTAAGGTAAAGGTCTGGAACTTAGTTTTTCTTTTATTAAAATCTATACCATCTATAATCTCAAATCTATGCTTATAAATACAGCAGCAAAAAATCTTTCACACGTGAAATTTCCAATTTAGACTAATTATACAATACAAAATGAAAATGTTGGGGGTGTAAATCACTTGAATTCCAGAGTGTCAGTCCTGCTCTGGTATCTGACATTTGTGAAGAACATCACATAAAGCTGTCATGGGCCGCATCCATAAAGGAGGAGAAAAAAAAAAAGAAAGAAAAAAAAAATCACTGTTCACAAAAGTCCAGGAAAACTGATAATCTGACCTTCACCAAAAAACAAAGCCTTGTCTGATGGGTGCAGTAGGTTTCATGTGGCTCTAGCAAGGTCTAAGAGGAACTGTGTCGGCCAGGATGTATAGAGATGTAGCTGCATGACTGTAGTTCAGACAATATTTTAAGACAGCATTATAAATGAAACCTTATATACTTAAGCGAGGCTCCCAGTCTGAAGAAGCTTTGGAAGTGGGGAAGTTTCCAAAACGAAAATGATCCCAGACAGACCGACAATTAACAAAGTTGTTTTAAAGAAGAAAAAGGAGAAAGTTATGACAAAGTATGTCCCTGATCTGAATCCAGCAAAATACATTTGAAGAAATTTGAACTGTAAGGCAGAGGAACAAAAGTCATACAGAAAAGATTAGCTTTACTAATTTTGACACCTTTGTGGGAAAATGTTTCTGTTAAAGGTTTTATTTTCACAATAAAACAAATTTTTTACAAATTAACAAATTGCAAAGACTGCGCCACAAAACAAATGACCAAATGCAAATTGACTGCAAAGATTTCTCAAAGTTGTTCTAACTCAAGGTGAGAAAAAAAAATAGCAATACAGGTTGTCACAAACTCTGCTGTGCAAGCAGGCAGATAAGTACTAGCAATAGCAAAAAGCTCTAAAGAAATTGTTTTATGTAAAGTAATAAGGTTTCTTCACATTCACACCATATTCTGCGAGGGCAGGAGTCAGGTCCTCCATAGTCAATGTGTACTTCTTATCCTATACACGGGAGGAGGAAGAAAATTATCAGGAACAAAAATAACTGAAAGCAGATGAAACCTTCCTCTTCTAGCAACACTCACACAGCGCTCTCTAAATACTGTACATCATATTTAAAGTGCCTGTTAAAATTAGACAAGCTTACCTTTGTCTTACTTCTTGAGCTTCCTGAGGCAGTGCCTTTCATTTTGCAGTACTGCAGCGCATCATTGGCAATGTCTGAGATAAATTTCTGAGATGCGAGGGAGATCAGACGAATTCTATGCATGGAAAAAAGAAAATAATTAATGACTTCTTCCCTTAATGGTTTACAGCCTATCTGTATCCTTACTTTGAAAAACACCACACACATAAACCTCAGATTTTCTCTGATCTTGTTCGGAGTGATCACAAAGCTGACATTAAAGAGTCTTACAAGGTTAGAGATGTTGCATTTTGGTTAAAAGGTTAAAGCCAGTTTGTTTTAAGCAAATCTAATCAGCCAACACTCCCTTTAATATCAGAAAGCACAGTGCTACCTGACTAATACACTATTAAGATAAGAAATGCTGTATACCATTGGGAAATTCTTTAAATTAAGCAGGAGCATAGAAATATTTGACAATACAGTCATCTATTTGTGACTTCAACATGTTCCCAATGCCAGATTACATTAATTTCCGACTCATTCAGTGCCTTGAACTCGGGTTTTTAATGGTGAACTCATATTATATAAAGGCTTTTAAGTCATAGGTTTGTTAAGTAAATTGGTGGCTATCAATCAAACCTCTGAATGTACCAACTGAGCAGCCTTATGATTTGTGCTGTTTGTTTTATTAGTCACACTCATATCAGGATTATGTACTCCTCCATGCGTGCACACTGACAGACACAAAGCTGTTCCTAGTATACAATTTCCCAGTCTATTTAAAGGACACATGTATAGGTGGAGCCTTTTTGCTGTATTTAATGTCTAAACTGACAAGTCCATGACATTAGACCAGAATTGAGTGTACTCACATCCTTGGATCAGAAGCCTCAAAGCCAGCCCGGTTGAGGTAGTAGCCTGTGACTGCATCAGGAATCTGATGGGGATGGGGGGGTTTAATAACTACTTATGTATATGCCAATCAAGCACTGATTAAGAAACATTACCGTCATAAACATGTGAAGATATGATGTAGCAGGGCTAGCTGACTTACCGTGGGAGTGTACTCTTCCAGCTGCATGAGGAAATCAGCCAGTGGCGTGGTGGAAACAGCAGGCTTCACATCTCCATTGGTGATGCCACCAGGAACATACACTCCATTGGAAACAGATGTGTCTGCAGACGGTGTCACCACAGCTGATGAGGACGAAGCTATAAAAAGAGACATCAAGAAGGGTCTATTAAATGCTTGGAAAAAGGGTGGCTTTACCCCTCTGGAAAATTAGGCAAAAGGAGGCCAACTGAACTTCTTTAAGTTTGTGAAGACGTTTCACATCTTATCCAAAAGCTTCTTCAGTTCAAATAACGAAGGTGGAGAGTCCCAGATATTTAAACCCTAGTGCAGAATGTCACCTTTGGAGATAATCGTTGACCTACTATTAATCATGTGTGACATGACATGAGCCAAGGAGTTAAAAAAGGGAATGAGTCATTAAACCAGAGGTTTCAAGTGAAATTAAAGTGAGACCTTGCCCCTCCCTATCATGACCTATTGAGGTTACCTGAGTCAAGGGTTGAAGTGTCTGGAAAGGGATCTCAAGATAGCATTGAAGGTGGCAGCTTGTGTTCAGTGATGTTTGTTGACACAGGGCAAAGATGGCCTATTTTACTCCTCTTTCAAACCATCTGTTTTGTCAGTCCAAAATGTGAACATTTGTATCATCAAAAGAGTGTAGCTGTGCATCTGCACCTAAAGGATAAGTTGCACCTTTTGCCGCTTGGTTATTTGGCCAGTGGTGTTGAGGATTTAGGTAAACTTGATTAAATTATAAACACACATGAATAGGGTCAGATTTTGATATCCACCACAAAAAACTATCTGGACACAGTTTCATCTTTTAGCATGACAATGACGCCAAACATATTGCTAATGCATTAAAAAATACCTGGAAAGAAAAATATACAATTAAGCACTATCACTCATGGATCGGGATCCCAAAGAACAAACTTCAACTTTACTGAAGAATAGTTGGACCACCTTGACAGACAACATAGCAAAAGGCAGCCAACATCCAAAGAAGCTTTAGATGTCCTTCAAGAAGCCTGGAAAACTATTGCTAAAGACTACTTGGAGAAGTAGTTTCCCATTTTTACATAAAAATTAAATCTATCTTAAGGTTGGGGCCAAAGGGTCTTTCACCATCTCACAATGCTGTGACTGCACCAATTCCCCAACTCTCACTGAACGGTACCCATGGCCATTAATTAATGATCATGACAATTTCTATATTAGTAATCAGGAAACTGACCTAACAGTTAGTCAGTTGTGTTAGTTTCAGTCTTTATGCAAATGTAATGTTCACAAGGTTGGGGACCCCACAGTCAGCTGAAACTGAAGACGTCACTTGAATGAGTGATAAAACATATCTCAACAGTCAGATAAATAGAATCAGAACTTTCTGTGACGACTTAAAGAACCTACAAGAAAGCTTGCCTGAGAGAATTCAAGCTCTTTAAATAATAAAGGTGATCATATCAAATATTCACTTTATTTTCAAGCTTGTGAGAATTGCACAAACTGTTTTTACCTTATATACTAACATTTTTGCAATACACTGTACCCATTTCCAATCTGCCCTGGCAAAATATAAGGAAATCATGGATGGCTTGAGACTTTTGCAAATTACTGTACCAACAATCTAAAAATTGCTACAGTGGTTAAGTTAGTGATACGGACTTAACCTGAAACATGGTAGTTGGTAGGTTTTGTAATAAATATGTTTAAATCACTTTAGTGTAAGACGGCAGCCAGGTTAGTACGCGTTTCTCTCAGTCAGGCTTGGTAATGTTGACAAAGTCAATGTACATCGTGGAAAATTCCGACTTCCACAGCGAGATGAAATCATCAAATGCTCTCAGAATAATAACAAAGACAATAACAAAGCCACGTTACGTTACCATTACTTGTGACCGACGGGATGCTGCTCACGTTGGTTGTCGTATTATCATTGGCAATGCAATTACTTGCCGTTGACGATGTGGTAGAAGGCACTCCTGTTGTTACAGACTGATTTAAGTTGTCCATGTTCATGTTGGCGTTAGCTAACGAGCTAACCGTGGTTAACTAGCACCGAAATATGCAAAACACCACAAATCCGCGATTTATAGCTGTAAGACAAATATTTTACAAAATTCTGTTTTAGTATAACTCTACCCTTTAATTCAACGAAATGAATTACCAAAACTAAAAAAAAAACTATAACTCGTAGCAGAAGTGTTCCTAAGTCCTTTGCAGTAAAACGCTGAGCCACCACTGTAAAGTAGATCGCTTCACGTGACCTATAGTCATCCTCTTCTTCTATGTGTTTTATTGCTGACTGCACACCGCCTCCTACGCCGCCTGCCGTAGCGGAGACTGTAGGTTATAAATTAATACACTTTCTTCATGATATTTAAAGCATTTAATTCAGATTTGTTCAAAATTATATTGTACTCACAAATATAAAATGATTAGTGTGTAATTATGTCTTCCAATAAATTGATGCATTCTCATAAACTTAAAATGAATCCATTATGAAGACATGGGATCAGGCTCTGGCTTGAATAAGCAATCATGTTGCCCTGTCAGAAAATTCCTGTAAGAAATCAGCATTCAATTGATTGCAGTCTGCAATCTTT